TATTTTTTTTAATTTTTTTCTTAGTTTTTTAAAATTTAATTGGTTGTAATTGTGGAATTTATAATTTTTTGTTAGCAAATTTTATTGTGAAAAATTTATAAATTGTTTTTGTTAAAAAATTTATAATTTTGTATGTGCCTCTATTTTTAACCAATTATTCAAACCGTGCCGAAATGTTGAAGCAAAATGAAGAGCGCCGTGTTGTTATATATTTACTTGTATGTATGTATACATTTATTTTTGATGTATGCATGTGTGTTAGTGTACGAAAATCCCAACTCTGATTAGCGGAGTGTGAAATAATTTCACCCCAAGCCCATTAGGCTCACAATTGCATGCCATTCGTCATTAGGCGACTAAATGATCGCTGAAATTATGAAATATTTCATCACCCACACCGACAGGATGACAACTTACCAACAACTTTGGGCATAAAAAAAAGTTAAACACCAAGCTGCGACTTGGTAACAGATATTTACGAAGCGTTAACAGCAGAAAACCAAAAGCGCAAGAACAACTGAAATACAAGTGAATTATAGTTGCACATAGATTGCTGGCTTATGTGCGGCACGCCCCTTTGCAGTTGCACAAAAATAGCAATTCGGAAAAGGAGACGACATGCAACGCCACAGCAGTGTGCAGGGTAAGGAGCGACGCAGCAAGTCGAAATATTACGAATGCTGACGTAAAATCAAGGAAAGAAATCTCATTTCGAAAAGGCAATTTATTCATGACCTTTGTTGCATGCATCTCACAGCAATTACAGAGCCGTCGTACCTATGCATGTACATACATACATATGGATGTGTGTGTGTGTTGTAGGTGGCGTACAAAAATCACCTACTGAAGAAACTTGTATGTGTGTGTTTGTTGGCAGCTACATATGTGTGTACGTATCCATGTGTGGCATAAAAATTGTACAACATGCCATAATCGTAAAGCCCGACACTTCTAACCACGTGTGTGTAACCATTTACATATAAGTAGTAGTGTAGCGTGTATCATATGTATTTTTTGTATGTATGTAAGCTTGCAGTTTTGTTTAATATTTCTCATTATTTTCTGTCATTTCATTTGTTCGTGTGTGTGTGTGAATGCCCAAACTTTACGAAATCCTCACGGTGCACTTGAATTGATAAATCGACTGCAATCACCTTATCGCACAGTTACATCATACAAGCAACATAACAACAACGAAAAACACAAAATTACAGTACAGGCAGTGGGAGTGTAAATAAAATTCAAGCAGAATCAAAAGCATACCACACAGAGATCTCGTGAGAAAAAAAAATTTAATTCGGCAGCGCATATTGCCGAAACAGCCATCATTAATTGTTATAACCTCAAATTCAAGTTCAAACGTCGAATTTACACCGTTATTGATTTATTGCGTTCGAAATAATTTTTCGCCTCTCAAGTCGTACAGTTCAACGTTCGTCTAAATTTGCGGAAACGACACTAATTGGCATAACGATAGTTAAACAAATCTTGCAACATCGGTAACTACAAAACAGTTATTAAGGTAAAGGTAAGTACCTACAATATTCCTTATACCCATAGCATAAAATGATATAAAAAAGATATTGCCCTGATTTTGATCTATCAGATTATATGACAGCCACTTAAACATGAACTGCTGTCTTAGATAATAATCCACACCAAATTTCGTGAAGATTTCTTGTCGTAAAAAAAAGTTTTCCATAAAAAGACATGATTACAGGGAGGGAGTTTGTATAAGCAGCTATATGATATAGTCATCCGATCTGTATAATTTTTACGCAGATTATATAGTTGCCTTGTACAATAATTCTTACCATGAACATATCTCCTCAAATAAAAAAGTTTTCCATATAAGGAAATGATTTCGAACTTTCAGTTTTTATGGCAACTATATGTTATAGTCGTCCAATATTCGCAGTTCCTGCAAATTTTTTGAACGATATATGAATGGCGTCAATGGCGACCGATGACTCAGAGTCAATTACGTAAACGACATTAGACAATATGCCGACCATCAACAAGCACTGATTGCCATTCACAGTGCAGCTATGAACACCTTCACCGTCTCTCTTCTGAATGGCGTATTTGGAGTCAAACTACCACCCATCACAAACGAAGAGCTTGATCATCCGCGAGAAACTAGGGTGACCTTTGCGCAGCTTCGTTCTTTATACTGTAGCAGGTTGAACTCCTACCTATCTAGAATATATTCCGACGTATTCTATATATATCCTGCGTGCAATGAGTCTCCGCATAGCATTGGCCACGTCTTTGTATTCCCCACCAACTCCACTCATTTGATACCCCTCTCCTTTTAGGTCTTCCGGTAGATGACATCGACGACAACTTAGCTAATTCTTACCATTCTAACGGGGACTAGGTACCCACTAAAACAACAACCGCTGAGCATATAATTTCACGTTTTGGTCCGGCCGGTTGGCCACCAAGATCGTGTAATATAACACTCACAGACTTTTTAGTGAGAATATGTAAAGTCTAAAGTCTATGCGCAGAATATCACTTCGATTCAGGCCTGGGAGCAAAATATCATCCGTATCAGTCGCCAGTTATCAGTCGAAATGCTCGAACGAGTCATTGAAAATTGAACCTAACAAATGGACCATCTGAGACGTAGCCCCGACCAATAAGATTAATATTATCTTCAAAGAATAAATGCTAAAGAATGTTCCTTCGAATGATAATAAACATTCCCCCATTAAATTTGTAGCTTTTGTGCTAATTCTTTAAAAAAAAAGAAATGGTACAACCTTTATAAACTTAATGACAAATCCGTATATCGATAATTAATCTAAATTCTTGAACATTATATGCATTTTATTTCTTTTTGAAAACCACACCTTTAAAAAATCGCACTTTACATTTTGAATACGCGTAAAATTGAGTCGCTTTCATGCTACTGCCTATTCTTTTAAACTATACCTATTATTTTAAATTTGGAGAGAATTGCTTAGTGTTGTCGTTCGCTTGCTGCTTTCCACAAGAAAAAATTAAGTTTATGCGCACATAAGGGTTAAAGGTTACTTCATTAGCAAAGCAGAGCACAATCAGCTGGAGTCACGAAATTGGTAAACATATTTATATATGCGTATATATGTATGTATGCATGGCCTTGAATTTAGATGAATAATTATATATCACAATGCTTCTAAATAATTAAACAAGCAAATCATTCCCATCTATGTATGTATGTATATGTATATAAACGTTCTAAACGATTACTTACACAATTTTAAAGTCATTGAATTTATACAAAAAGCGTTCTTGCTGTCATTCAAATGAATTTAATTTTTTACAACATAAAGAAGAGCGCATTTACAGAGCGCGTATGACGCAAATAGAGAGAGCGTGCTTTTCTTTGCATACGTTTCAAGCAATTGAGCGCGTTTCAATGCGGCACCGCCAGTCCGTTTATCGTGCCTACGTGCGCGCTATTTGGCTGCTCTCCGTTCAACGAAAACGTGTGCACATTCGTATATGAAACGCATGAAAACGGAAAAAATCTAGTTATTGTTGAAGCGTTGTTAAGTCAAAACGTAACTTTGTTTCTTAATTCTGTCGGTGTGAAGCGTTTACGAAAATGGTAAGTGGAGTGCAGTGCATTGCTTAGAAAAAAAAACATGTATGTATATATATATATATTTGTATTTTCAGGTTATAGACGATTTGAAGTTAATTCGTGAAGTAAAAATACGACCATATTTCTATGTGAAAGGTTTGACTGGCTATCGAAATTCGACGCTACGCAAAAAAGGTTGGGAACAGATTGGCGGCATTTTCGAAACAACGGGTGAGCAGTAAATTTCCTAAACTATTGGGTAGTCGATAAAGTCTTTTTGTATTTCTAATCAAACTTCAACTTATTTTTTTTTTTATATTTATAATGAACCAAATATGTACCATTTTCGTTGACCACTTTTTGTCATTTTTCCCCGCTGGAGACATTATTCTATCAGTGTATAACTTTTCCGGTTTCTCGACGAAAAGCTGCGACAAGTTGTTTTCACAGGTTTCTTTTGAAGCCAACTTTACTCCATTAAAGAAGTTCTGCACTGGCGAAAACAAATGGTTGTCCGATGGTGCAAGGTCTAGGCTAATATGGTGGATGCATTAAAACAAGCTCTTCCAGTTTTTGCCGAATTAACAAAGATGTGTGTGGTCAAGCGTTGTCCCGATGGAAGACGAAGCCCTTTCTGTTGATCAGTTCTGGCCGTTCTTTTCGATTGCTTTCTTCAATACCATCAGTTGTTAACAGTAAAATGTAGAATCAATCGTTCGATCAGGCTAGAGTAGCTCATAGTGAATAATTCCTTGCCAATCCCACCAAATACTCGGCATAACTTTTCGAGGCGTCACTCCTGGCTTTGCGACCATTTGTTGAGCTTGGACCTTGATTTTTTTCGCCCATTATTTTCGTATTTGATTCACTTTTCGTCTCCTGTTACCATTCGCTATGTTAATTCGACCCATTAAATTTTTCACAGACAATACATGTGGCATCCAAAAGTTGAGCTTCATTTTGTAGCCATCCTTTTTTAAATGGTTCAAAACCGTTTCATGATGAACGTTAAGTTCCTTTGCGATGTCATGGCTGCTTATGTCCTGGTCCTGGTCAATATTTACCATAATTTTGTCGACTTTTTCAACGAAAAGTAGACCAGAGTGAGCTGCATCTTCCACATCGAAATTTCCAGAACGGAAGTGAGCGAACCATTGTTGCGCTAAACGAACTGCTACATCATCGTCTCCGTAAACTTCACAAATCTCTCTGGTGGCTTACGTGGCATCCTTGCCCTTTTTATACTAAAATTTGAAAATATAACGAATTTTTTCATTATTTTCACTCATTTTTGAATAGCTGTAATTTTTTTCAACTTCCCGAATGTAATTTTTTTTTTGTTAAATGAAGCTTAGCATCTCACCTTTCCAACACTATATGGTAAGACACAATGTGCTTGGCAGCACTGGAGATGTACGATTGCAACGACATCCATTGACAAAATACGAAAAGACTTTTTCGACTACCCAATATACATATATGTATGTATGTATGTATGTAAGTTAACAGTATTATTTTAAAAACAGGCGAAGAATGTTGCACACGTTGGCGCGTTATAAGAGACCGTTACGTAAAATTGATTGCCAAAAAAGGTGCAAAGAAACCCTTAACAGGTTATGATAAAAACTGGACACTTTACAAGCACTTGGGTTTTCTAAAAGCGCACATTAAACCTAGAACGTATGCTATTGAAAGTATTTCGCATACAATTTTTAATATTTATGCAACTTTAGTTATAAGTTCAAGCAGAGCACTGCTAATGGCGAAGCGGAACAAGAAGTTGACGAGCACGAGTTTATACAAAACATTTCCTACGAAGACACTTTCGATGAAGACCTAACCAAATATGAGTCCAGCGTGGAGGCTGAGGAATCGCTTATGTCCATACCCGATATGGATTGTAATGATGATTTGCCAATTGAAATCACCACGGCTGAACCATACGCGCAATCCACCGTACCTGACGTAACGCCGCAGTGTAGCGAATTCCAAGAGAAATTTTCAGCTTTTACGAAGAGAGTGGAATTCTTGCTGAAGCAGCGGCTGACAAACGCATCGGATGATAAAAATGAAGCTTTCTATCGCATGATCGGCGTTAAGCTGGCCGAATTGCCGGAAGATGAGCAGGAAGATGCCAAATTGCACATCATCTCACACGTTTTCGAAAGGGTGAAGACGTATAAACAAAAGACGCGCTCGCTTAATAGTACACATAATTAGCTGCTAAAATGTAATGTAGGAATTAAATTTTTTTCTTTTTTGTTTCGTGTAATAACTTTTTTATGTTAAAATAAATTCTGTTTGTAAAAATATAACTACATATAGAGCATTGTTGCAAGTTTAATACCTATGTAATTACGTATTTACATATATATATACACTTGTGTACCTTGTTTGCTATTCTTCCGTTTGTGGGCTATATTCTCTTCGTGCTGAGTTTGCAGAAAAGGGGCCTGTTACCATATGTGCTCAGCTCGCAAACAGCTGTTCGTTCATCACTCGCAGGCCGGTTCCGAGCATTGTCTTTTTCGTTATATGCTTTTGCAGACAGAAATCTATATACATAAGCAGTAAATAAATATATGCAAAGACTGCACCGAAACTCGTTTCATAACGACTTTGCCCTTTGAGCGCACTTGTCTCTTGTTGAGTGAGAGAAAGCTTGCAGAGCACACAGTAAAAGTAGAAGAGTATAATTATATGAAAGACATATCTATTGTAGTTACTTTTGCTCTTTGCTCATTGTTGGCAGCTCGCTGCAAAGAACACAGATTTAGCAAATAACTACTTACACTAAATACTATATCACACACAGCTTCGCCAACTGCCACAATTATTATGAGTATTTTCTATATTGAGTGAGTCAGTTGTGAGCATGAGTGAGTTCGTTCGGCAGCAAATAAAATATGTGGATATATTTTTAACTATGCTTGAAGTGAAGTGTGCGCGAATAGGAACCTCCACTATAAAAATACAATATTTATGAGTAGCTGTGAAAATTTTGTACACTTTTGTGTTTAGTCGATATAAAGCACCGTAACAGTGTACAACGAAAATAGGGAAAAGTGAATAGCCACTGGGTTGTTCAGTCATGAGCAATTCAGTTGGAGGAAATTTACGTAAAATTTTATTAGAACAGCTAAAAGCAAATTGCGTAAATTCTATTTTAGAGTTCTACAGCGAACGAAAACGAATTAAACAGTCGAAAATATGTCATAGACACGACATAAATTAAGTCGATCGAAATTTTCGAAATAGCTGTGATATTTTTTATTTTTGAATTTCCAACTTATACGGTTGGTGAGATTTTCCTAAAATTTTCAATGATTTATGATTTATGTCGCTAAGCACAAGTTGTGTTCGTGGCTAGTGCTGTAGGCGGAAGAGCTGAGCTGCATATGGAAGAAATGCAAAGTTGCACAGTAACGGAGCTGGCAATGTGGACAGTTAAGCAACGGCCTAGTTACAATGACGGTAAGCAACACAACTATTAAACTATTGGTTTTTATTTTAAAGTGTGCGAATAAATT